AATTAGGGACTATTTCAACAAGGATGTGGAATGTCTCCATCTATTTTCCTTCTCTTCATCTCCTCTCCTCCACCCCCACGATAAAAAGCATTTTAATGCTGTTGTTTGTTTGTTTTTTTAATAGAGCAAAGCATATGCTCATACATGATTATGTATGTTGTTTTTGTTTCATACAAGTAACATTTCAGACAGGAGTCGTGCTAACAAGGTGACTTCCAATCAACCCTCTCTGTTAGTGACGGCTGTGAAGCTTCTTTGCAGTCAATACAGTGTAGCCTTGGATTTAGCACTGAGCATCTCCAGTCTCTATCCTTGAAAAAGCAATGATGAGTAAAAGAAAAGAGAGAATGTCTCTAAACCATCCGCCCCCAGACGTGCAGAGAAGGTGGGTGTGGGGAGCAATAGTCCTCTCTCTGCATCGCAGTCAAAGGCACAGGGAACAAATCTGCTCTTCCACAGGCAATGAATGTTATGATATCTCCTGCAGTGCATAATGCAATCTTTTCAAGGCCTCAGGCACCAGCAGGCATAAACTTGTTGAAACACTATATTCTGGAGGCAGATGTTCAGGAGCTGAAGTCATTTTAAACTCCTTTAAATCGCATATTATAAGGCGGCCGGCGCCTGACGAGATATACTGCGAGAAAAACGGTAAATAAAGTAATGGATGACGTCTTCATTCAAGTGTCTCCAGACAAGTTCTTAACGCAAGACCACAGGGACAACACACAGCACTATATATGGAGCAAACAAGGTTGGTTTACACTGGATCCTTTATGGGGCTTTTATGAAGCCCTTTCATCAGCTCCACATTTCCTTTTAATCCATTTCTGAAATAAACACGTGAATGTTTGCGCAAAAAAAAAAAAAAAACTACGTAAGCCCTCTCTCCACCGCTTTTCCTCCCTCTCACTCGCCTTCTGTAGCCCTTCACCGACTGCAAGTCTTTTAGCACAATGATATGACAGAAACACATAAGAATAATGGCACGTTGTTGCTAAGAGACCACCTGTTCAGATCTCCCACATGAGATTGTGGTGAAACTGTAGTTCTCTTATCATCATTATCAGAATATCATTCGTTTGAGCGAATGTCACGACAATATTGCAACTGAGAGAGAAACCTATTATATAACAAGATGTCTTTTAGGCAGAGCGTCTGTATTTTAGATGAAGGTTTTTTTTTTTTTTTTAAATCAAACAGCATACTGCAGCAGCACCATGGGACTTGTGACCCCGATGAAGCTCTTATAACAAGCGTGTATAGCAAATCACACTTGATCCAGTTAATATCAAACAACTATTTTGCCTTGTTCATAACAGCCATTTGAGAAAATGGTATCTGCTGTTTTCCAGACTGTTGACAATTAGGGAGTGGTGTTGCATGGGAAAATGAGTGCTGTCCTGAGGGCTGGTAAGAGATGAGCCACACCCTTCTACTCCTTTACCTGCCAGGGTGTGTTCAAAACCTGCACCACATGTACTGGGCACACTTCCTATGACAAAAAACACGCAAAAGTTCCATTGTTCCAGAGGGTGTGCACCGGCCACTTTGCTTCCATGCAACCTTCTACGTCGGCTACTCTTCGGGATAAAATTGTACAGCGGTAGTGATGAAAAGGTTATTAACACACAAGCCTATTCTTCTTTAGCTTCCAGTCTGGCTAATCTGTTTGCTCACTTCGACTTGTCCTCCCCCGCCCCAGCAGGTCAGCGCTCAGACTTCATCCATCTACATACTAAGAGGCTTGACCTGGGGCATCACCTTTCTCAGACACCCAGTGACATGGCCAGCTGGTGGAGATGACAGTGGTACAGACAGACACTCGCAAACACGCACGCTCTGTCAGCCTTAACTAGCTGTCTCACCCCCGTCAGCACGGGAATGACTAGATGCCAATCGCCACGTCTGGAACTGCCTGTCTATGTGAGGGAGGAAATCTGAAGTGAGTCATGGAGCATCATGTGGAGATTGCTGGTTTACAGGGTTGACTCCCCTGTTGGTTAAGATAAAGTCATCTCAGAGAACTAAGGAGTGCCTCTGGCCTTTACCAAAGGAACAACCCTCACGGTGAGATTCAGAACCTCCAAGTCTCGCCCTCACTGTGTCTACAGTTCCAGCCCTGTTAAACACACACACTCAACTGGGCTAACATGAGTCACAGCAGCGCAGTTACCCCGCTCTGCTCCCCTGCGATTACTCAGTATCTGCCCAGCTGCTGGCTGCAATGCCTTCAGAGCCGCCGTATGTTTTTACATCTCCCCTTCCTCGGGAGACTTCTGATTGCATACAAAGCAGACAAACACAATTACTGTCTGCAGAGGCATTTGAATGTGCACAGAGCAGAGCAATGGACAGGGCACTGGCAGCCAGACATGGTTGTGAAAGTTAAAGCAATTATTTTCCTCACAAAAACTGGCAGCTGGAGTGATTCCAACACTTGGAAGTGCATGGAACTCTCTACAGTCAATCAGTGCAAACAATTAGTGCAATAAAGGAGGTAAAAATCTGTACTGTGAAGATAAGAGGGGTCAGTATTGATTTTATTCTTCACTACAGCACCAACTATCGCATCTTTGCGCCCTGCTGTCTCTGCCACTAATTACGTGGTGAAATCAGATATATTTTCACTTTAGTTGTGGATTTTTTAAAATTATTTGAATCTAAGAACTTCAGCTCCACTGTCCCCTCACTGAAGCAGACAGTCCCATGAAATTAAAGCTGACAGTCTGCATTTCAATCTCAGACACTGTCATTTTGCATCTAATACCAGCAGATTTCAGTGACTGAACGTGCTGATTACCACACATCCCCAGCATAGATTTAAAAAGCACGGTTTTAAGGGCATAACCTACTTATTATTAATATTTTCATCACTGCAAAAATCTACGGATTATTTTCTTGCTTAATCAATGAATAGTTGAGTTGATAAAGCATCATAAAACTATGAAAAACATTTTATTTAACCACAAGTTCAACACTAGGGCTGCAACTGACATTCTCAAAAATAGCACAACTAATCAATAAATCAGCTAATCACTGCAACCCTATTGAATATTCACAGACTGTTGTGCAATCTTACACATCAGAGTCAGTACATACTTGAAAGTTTTGCTTGAAAAAAAAAAACTAGGGAATTTGGAAAATATAGTGGCTGATAAATTTTGAACCGACTAATCAATGAATGGTTGCAGTTCTAGTATAAACATCTAACAACACGCGATAAAAGACTGATGCTTTTCATCACTGAGAAACGGTCGAGTCAAGCTGAGCCTGTCTCTTTAAATATTAAAAGCACACTAAGAAACTTGGTTTCACGCTGCAGGGTTGGTGAGGAAAGCATGACGAATGCCAGATAAGCAGCGACTATACATGGCACTCTCTCTGACCTCCGAGCTTTGGGGTCAGATCCCCGGTGCGGAACAAGGGACTCAGTCTCTGCACTCCACTGCCCATCAGCGGTGCCGGCTGTCAGGGCTCTGACGGGTGCCTTCGTCCCCAGAGACGGAGCATCAACGCTGGACTTGCACTCAAATGAACAATACCATCCCCAAAAAAGAGCCGAGGGTTTCAGATTCAGACACCGACAACGTGTCTATGTTGATTAACCCACATTAGTAGGTGTAAACACTTCCTGACAATGCATGACAGTGGGAAGGACACATTGGCTGTGTGACCAGTTCAGCTCAGAGACATTTGCTTCCCTAAAAGAAGCAGCAATGTGCTCACTTGACCTCCTTTCTGATGGGATCTATTCCCTATAGAAGCTCACCTCAACTTAATTGTGGCTTTCTGGTTACTGCAGGTTTAGAGTGCAAGGACAGAAGTAAAGTAGATTCCAAGTTACTACGTGCAAATAATGAAATATACCGAAACAGGCCACCTCAAGCTGCAACAGAAAACCGACATTATGTCAACGCAGACACAGGTGAGGAGCCCTGGTGACATGAAGTTTTGGTAAACCGTCCATTAGCGGCTGCAACTCTTCAGCTATAAGGACACACGAAGCCTGCGGTGAGTTTGAATTAATTATACAGCAATTAGTGCTAAAACAAGTAGATGATTAATAGATTGGCTGACTCAATAAAATTATTCATCAGCCACTTTGATAATCAAATGAACATTCCAGTCGTGTATCAGCAAAACAATGGTGAGCACTGTTAGGTGACGGATGACAAATTTCCACTCTCTCCTCACATTGGGTGTGACTGAATACATTTAGTGTGCTGATTGGCCAAATAAAGGTTTTCTTTTTTTGTTGTTGCTATTTCATAGATAAAAATCCATCAAATAATTAAACTAATAGTAAAAAAAAGAAGAAGAAGAATCCACCCTCTCTATACTTTTTTGGATTTTTTTTCCACTCTGAATCTTTCTCTCTAGAACTGAGGATTAACCTAACAATTGCATGCAAAGTTCACACGGGTACTTTTATGAAGAACAGGTTTGCAAGTCCCTATGGGGCAAATGTTTACTTGTTGCAACAGGGAGCTCAACCGTCTCTGCCAGTCAAACACTGACTTCTGGAATGCAGTATGTTCCTGTGTGAGCAAACTGGGCTATATAAACCCACTGCTATCCTAGGAACAGCCTACACTACTAGCAGTGCTGTAGGTGGACTAATAGTACAATAGGCATAGGTGAAGGAACACACTGAATGAGTGACTTTGTTTTTTTTTTTTTTTTTTTTTTGCAGGCAGGTTGGTAATTTTAGCTGAAAGGTGTTGCCTAAGGCTAATACCTATCAAACCTGGTGTAGCGCAAAATTATGTGGAGGTGGAGCATTTTGGTCAACTGATCACAAAAAAAACCCTCTCTTTATAAAATGCTTGTGAAGAATTAAAAAAAATAAAAAAAAGAGGGAGAAAGAAACCAGCCATATGTTTTATTTAACCAATTTATGCGAAATCGGATTCGTTGTGTTTTCTCGTTGCTCGTCTGACAGCTGGAATCCAACCACTACCTCTATCTCCAAACTTTGCTAATGAGTTCAACCTTACCTTATAGACATTTTCCGTCAAGCGGTGAACCTCGTCAGTGCGAGACATGGTGAGATCTTCAGCCAGGACCATAAACGGTTTTTTCCTTGAAACGAGTATCCGCGTAAAAAAAAATAAAATAAAATAAGAGGAGGGGGGGAAAGAGGGGAGCAGGTAAAGACACGAGTTGGGTCTAACAAAAGCGAGGACCGCGGCTGTGAGAGTGACGCTGCGCTCCCGAAACCCACCAACTAAACACACCTTCCCTCTTCCACGGCTGACAGTGCGCTGGTGCCTTCACGGACTGCTCTGGAGCTCTGTTCTTTTTTTTTTTTTTTTTTCGTAATCTTTCACACTGTGGCGTCTAAAACAACAAAACAACAACAACAAATATCACTGTGACACTTCATAAATATTGTTCAATTACAAGTTTTTTTTTGCATAATTACCATATAGTGCAGCGGTGGTCGGCTGAGCGGGAGGAATTCATAAAAGCTAAATAAAAGCAAAAATGTATTATAAATAATATATGATAATAAATACTAAGAAATCTCACATTAAAATGGCAAAAATATTATCAATCACCTCCATCGCGCTACAGAACCTGTCGACCACTTGCGCGCCCTAAAGTCTACTTTGCCCTACAGCATTTGAATGCATCACCATCTTGTCAAAGTGCAGATTTGGTGCCTCCCCCTACATCTCTGTACCAACTGAGCACCACCATTCCTACAACATACTGACATAAATTTGCTCTTCTATAAATGAACTGCAATATTTAAACGTTGTTCTTTCCTGAAAACAAAACCATCGTTATATATCTGCCTACTTCTATTACGATTTCCAGTGTTTTTTGAGCTTCCGAGACACGTCTGTTCTCGGATTTGAATCCACCTGAAGCAATAAGCTCAGTTTGTCTTGAGAGAAATTGATCCCTTGTGAATCAGGAAATGAAACAGGTCTGGTTTTACTTCCTCGTGCATCATTTGGACAAAGAATGGCCAGTAAAAGCAATCCAGCCAAACAGACGTAGCAGAGACATTTACAGCACCCTGTCCCCACCTGTAAACCACACAGTGTGGTGCAGTTGAGCTGTTTCTTGTCTATTAAAGCCATTGTGTGTGTACTGCTGTTGTCATCCAAGCAACCAATACAATTACGTGCAGTACAGTTGCCACCATGAAGTCACCTTTCTATTTACAAAACACCATTTTATGTACATAACTGCATTTCTTGAGGCTGTTAGAGTCATACTCCGACTGTTTTCAGAAACTCCACGGGTGCTGTTTTTCCCACAGGATAATTTGTGTTAGCCTCATTGTACATACCAATTAGTGTCTAAGTGCCTACTTAGAGTAGGATTGTAAATACTATATTGGCTTTCTTGTCTAAACATCTCCCACATATCAGCAACATGAACACACACACACTTCACTGATGCAATGTGAATGAAGACACCTGTTTTGTGCAGCAGTGTCAAAAAACTAGCAAGGAGTGCCCTCTTCTGGAGAAAGAGTGTCACAAAAATTGACTGTGAACAAAATTCTTCAGTGTATCCGAGTCACAGAATATTTGTCACTTTAACACAATTACAAAAACATGGAACGGTAATCAGTTTGCGAAAATAAAAGCCAAGACATCATTTGTTTCCACAGCTCAATTTAATATGTAAAACAGCTGAAATTAATGTGTAAAATGTCTAAAAATTCATCCTGTTCATCTACAATAACCGCTACAATGTAACATTGCTTCGCTAATCCAAATCAGACGCAGAAATTTCACTTCATGTAGTTGCTTCAGGGGAGCAGTGAACCAGAGTACAGACCATGCTGATCCTTTAAAATGCGTGAAGATGCACTGATGTACGCAGGGGCCCACCCTCACACACCGAAACTCACAGCAAACAGATCCTACTCTATTTATTTGCAGCTCAACGCTGGATATCAACCACCAATTCAATCTGTTAGGCTGCCAACATCTCTCTGTCTGGCTTGTTCTTTGCTTCTCTCCTGTCTAGAAAACACAAAATCAAATTAAAACAAACAATCAGTCTGCCATCAAATACAAATTTGTCAGTTGTGTAAGGAAAGCTTTGTGGTGTGAAATGAAAAGTAAGCTCTACCTGGTTCCGCTGTAGCTGCTTCGGGGACCTCTGGTATTGGCTCAGTGGGGACCTCTGGAAGTGCTACATCTTCTCCCTGTTTCAGGAGAAGTGACAGAGAAAACAGAGATTACACAAGCCAGCGAGAGATGCACAAATATACTTAGTTATCCATCTTAGCTTAGCTGAAAGCACATATTGAGTTCCTTGAAAGTGGGTGATGCAAGCTGCAGGCTGCAGGGAGTGCATGAGAAAGTAATTCAATGGCTGGAAGACAAATGGATTAACAGTGAGGTACCATCAAACAAAGCACACATACTGCATTTCAGAATTTCCTATTTGAGGTCACTTCGATTTTTAGGCAGTGTGGGCATGACTATAATGACATTACAATTTTCTGTCCAGTACTGTAATAGATTACTGTTCCTAAATTGCTATTTTGAGGCAGATGAACTTACAGCTAGTGCAGCCTTGATTCTCTTAGACATGCAATTAAGACTTGATGACGCTGCCAAATTTCTTTGGGCTGGTTTTCACCAATTTTGTTGTTGGCTTTGTGGTAGTACTTTATGAAAGAGCATAAAATAAAAATCCTACGTATCTTATGAGGATAGTGTTGTGAGGATGGGGATTTGGGCTGTTGATGTGGACATATGTAAGGTTTAGCATTGGAGAATAGAGTTTTATTGCCATGGGCACAGGTGCATTACAGTACAAGCACACTGGAATTCTTGTGCGTATTGACAAGTCAGCTTTATATACAAGAAAAAATAAAAA